GCGCTTCTGGAAAAGACCAGAGGCTTTTAGTTGAATCGGTCACACACTAGGTTCAGAAATGCCGCTTTAACTTTGACAACCTGGTTTTAAACATCATTTTCATACCTACGGAGAGACACATCCTGACTCCGAGAAAATGTGTCTCAGAAATGTCAAACTGACCTGTACAGCTACTAAACTGAGCAGAGCCATCTGTCATAGCATCTAACATAAATGCTTATCCTGGTTAAGGGGGGGTTCTGCCAGCCAGCAAAGGGCATAGGACCCTCGCTGTATGGGATGCCAGTCCATCAGTGGGCACTGACACCTACAGTACCAGTCAAATGTCCGAACACACCTGACTTAATGCATATGTCTCAATTTTAGCTATGTTACTCACCTTAGAGAAACAGGCCATGAGGCAATGAAGTAATACGTATCAAATATTGCAACAACCAACAAGTGTTCAACATCTCAAATTTTCTTAAATTCTGGATTCCTCAAAACAGCCGCCTTTTGCTTCGATGTCCGCATTGCAGACTCGTCATTCTTTCAACCAGATGTAGCCACCTGGAATGCTTCTCCAACAGTCCTGAAGGAGCTTCCACAAGTTCTGGGCACAAGTTGGCTACCTTGCTCTTACTCTTCGATCCAACTCATCCCAACCCAGCTGTATGGGGTTTAGGTCGGAGGGATTGTGGAGGCCAGGTCATCTGTCTCAGCACTCCATGTCTTTCCTTCTTCACAAGATCATACTACATAACCTCGACGTGTGCTTAGGCTCATTATCTTGTTGAAAAACAACAGATCGGTGTATCCAGACTTCTGACTGGTACTTTATGCTAAGTAGAAGCACCATGAACTACAGAACAGATCCAGTTATAGCTTGTATTACAGTGCCTTGAAAAAGTAAACATTCCCCTCGGACTTTTCCATATTTTGTCACGTTACAAACACAAACTTAAATGTGCTTTATTGGGATTTTGTGTGATAGACCAACACAAAGTAGTACATAATTGTGAAGTGGAAAGAAAATGATATGTGGTTTTCCAATTTTTTTACAAGTAAAAATCTGAAAAGTGTGCCGTGCATTTGTATTTACTCCCCCGAGTGAATACTTAGTAGAACCACCTTTCGCTGCAATTACAGCTGCTAGTCTTTTGAGGTATTTCTCTGCCAGTTTTGCACACCCAGAGACTGCAATTTGTGCTCATTCTTCTTTGGAAAATAGCTCAAGCTGAGTCAGATTGGATGGAGAGCGTCTGTGAACAGCAATTTCAAAATCTTACCACAGATTCACAATGGGATTTAGGTCTGGACTTTGACTGGGCCATTCTAACACATGAATATGCTTTGATCTAGACCATTCCACTGTAGCTGTGGCTGTATGTTTTGGGTCGTTGTCCCGCTGGAAGGTGAACCTCTGCCCCAATCTCAAGTCTTTTGCAGCCTTTAACAGGTTTTCTTCCAGGATTGCCTTGTATTTAGCTCCATCCATCTTCCCATCAACTCTGACCGGCTTCCCTGTCTCTGCTGAAGAAAAGCATCACCATAGCAGGATGCTGCCACCGCCATCGTTCACGGTGGGATGGTGTGTTCACGGTGATGTGCAGTGTTAGCTTTCCACCACACATAGCATTTTGCACTTAGGCCAAAAAGTTCCACTTTGGTCTCATCTGACCGGAGCTCCTTCTTCCACATGATTGCTGTGTACATGGGCATCTCTGCAGCTACTCCAGACCATGCGTCTCTTGGCTGATTCTCGGATTAGTGCTCTTTTTGCCCGGCCTGTCAGTTTAGGTGGACGGCCATGTCTTGGGGGGTTTGCAGCTGTGTCTTCCTCTTTCCATTTTCAAATGATGAACTGAACTGTACTCCGGGTGATGGTCAAAGTTTGGGATATTTTTTTATAACCTAACCCTGCTTTAAACTTCACCACTTTATCCCTGACCTGTCTGGTGTGTTCCTTGGTCTTCATGATGCTGTTTGTTCACTATTATTCTCCAACAAACCTCTGAGGCCTTCACAGATCAGCTGTACTAATACTGATAATAAATTACACTCAGGTGGACTCTGTTTACTAATTAGGTGACTTCTGAAGAATCGGTTACACTGGATTGTATTTAGGGGTATCAGAGTACAGGGGACTGAATACAAATGCACGCCACACTTTTCAGATTTTCATTTGTGAAACATTTTGAAAACCATGCTTCCTTTCCACTTCACAATTATGTGCTACTTTGTGTTGGTCTACCACATAAAATCCCAATAAAATCCATTTAAGTTTGTGGTTGTAACGTGACAGAATTTGGAAAAGTTCAAGGGGTATGAATACTTTTTCAAGGTAGTGTATTATAGTCCTGCTACTCATTAGAAGTTTGTATGTCAGAAGGAAAACGCAGCAAATGCAATGTGACCAGCTGAAGAGCATCACTCCTCCATTCACGGTGATTCAAGTTTCAACCAGATGCCAGTTTGCCCCCAGAAGGTCCGTCACCGTGTGATGCCGTCCAACACGACTCGCCCCAGCTTGCATCATATAAATCACACGAGACGGGGGGACTATCAGGAACGCATTCTCATTACTCTGCTCAGGGTCCGTTTTCCTCGGATGGGTAATCCTCTGACGGCCGCGATTCGGGAGCCGTTCGGAGGTGGAATTAAGGCGCCAGAAATCAGCGTTTGCAAATCGCACTGCTTTTCGACACCTTTGTGTTTATTCATTCTGTTCTCATTTGACTCAAGTGATGCGAAGAGATACAAATCAAGAAATTACAGTATGAGACGATAAATTATCAGTCAGAACGTTTTAACGTCAAATTCTTAGGGAAGATCTAGAAACCCCCTCCCATGTCGTTGACCTGGCAGCAAGTGGCCATGCAAGAACCTCCTCGAATCTTCAAGTACCTCTCCGAACACTGGTTCTTCATGCATGTAATGAAAATAATCCCCCCCCCCCCCAAAAAAAAAAACGTGGTCTCCCACAATTCCTCCCAATTCCCAGGACAGACAAAATCAGATTTTTTAACTTTTCATAAGCTCTTCTCCTCCATTTCGGTGTTAAACTGAAATGCTAAATTTTTTCATTTTAATTTAAATGTTAAATGTTATTGGGCCATCCTGACTGGAGAGATTCCCGTGCAGTGAGTGTGATTCCTGTGCAGTGAGTGTGATTCCCGTGCAGTGAGTGTGATATGCGATTTCAGAGAGCAACTTAAAATGCATAGAATCACACAACAACAATGAAATGATATCAAAGCCTTATGCAAGGCTTGAAGATGCAAGTAATATCTGTCCTGGATTTGAGTGGATTTATATATTTAAATCTTTACATTTACAACAAATAGTTCTTTAGCAAAGCATTGTGTTTTTTGATAATTACGCTAGTCAGAAATTTCAACTGGAACATCCCCTTAAGTCGGAATTCCGAAAGTTGAGAGGAATCTACCCAACGTCGACCACTGAATTTAACATGGCTGCAAACTATCAACAGAAGTTTAAGTTTTATACTGTTTATTAACATTTGCGTCTTATTTGTGGCTCATTAAATCGGTCGTACACACAGTACTGTCCGACCGCTATCCCTGGACAAGTCGCTATGGTGTGTTTATGCACAAAATACAGTGTAATGTGTTGTCAAGAACTGATATTGCTAACAATGGTTAACAGTGAACTGGGCTACAACTGGGACCCGTTTCATTAAGCAGGATTTCTTGCTTAGCCAGATAACTTGTCGGATTTAAGGTAGCCTGGGCTACATGTAGGTGAACAAAGATAATTTACCCCAGTTGAAATGGCTTTTAAGTCTGATAACTTATCTGGCTAAGCAAGAAATCCTGCTTCTTGAAACAGGTCCCTGATACTGATAAATGGTTAACTTGGGTGTGACGTCATTCCCAGCTGCGACTTCCGACCTCCAGGGTAAATGGAACGCAGTCAAACACTTTCACTTTGGTTATCGCGAAAAAGATAAGAGAAATGGTGTTAAATGGAAGTAAACCATCCATCTTCCAGCCACTTATCCAGGTTGGGGTCAGTAGGGGCCCCCAGTGTGTCCCAGGAAACACAGGGTGTGAGGTGAGGGACATCCCCGAGGCTCCGGGGCTCCGTCGCAGGGGACGGTCACACCTTGAGCCATTTTCAGCTGCCAATTAACCTAGCTGCCTGCCTTTGAACTCCGGGAGAAACCCCCAGCCCCAGAGCCCTAGAACTGCCCACAGAGCGACTTCATACGCACGTAAAGCAGCTAGTTATTACAAAAACTACGATGTCAATAAGAAAAAACGCATCAAAAATATAATCATTGTATTCTAATGAAATCTGAGTTGAATCGTAACATTTTTGGTGTCAAATGCTCGTGAAATAATGGTATGACGTTCAGCCGGAGGTAGGCAATATACCAGGAAATAACTACACGTGGACCGACATGAACGAACTGGGAAAGATCAGACATCTCAGAGACTCGTTTCACCAGTTCTAACTTCTGAGAGGAATAATCCAGAGGACGGCGCTGTAATCTCTCATCGTTAGCCTGAAGGTTGCCTAAAGGTACGCCGTTATCTTCTCTGGTAGGTGAGACCTCCCTGGCAGCTCGCCTTTCGACGTGCCGTCCAAGGGGCTGTGGTCCGGCCCGTGAGTATGGAGGCTGAGGGGCCATTTTGCCTCGGTAACAACATCACCCAGAGAGGCTTTCCATTATTAATTACGCTTCACATATAAATACAGCCAGCCTCCCGTTTAGTCATGAAATTTTAAACAACCGTGAAATCTCGTGCCGTGTAAATGTCTTTAGATAGGCGTCGGATTATTTATTCAGGAAGTCTTCGCAAACAACGCTTTTAGGGCTTTTTTTTTTTTCCGTCAGGCAGAAGTGTGTTCACCTGTCACTTTGAATATAAAAACCGTGTCAGGAAGACAGAGCTCGGCACTTATGAGCTCGCTGTTGTATTTTTAATTAGCTTGCAGGGCGGATTCACGCTCTGAATGAGAGAAGGAAGTGCGAGGAGCTGCAGTTATCTCACCGTTTCCTCCCAAGTTCACGCAGGTGCCATCAGTCTACTTGCCAGGTGCTCTCGTCTGTCACGGCTGAGCCACAAGTCTAGCGCATCGCTAACCTGGAAAACAAACAAAAGGTCCGATCTCGGTTATTTAGCGAAAAATGACGCTGGGTTTAACCCAGAGAAAACCAACCGTAAGCACTTTCAAACACCTTCGCCTTACCTTCTACAGAAGATCCACAGGGGTTGTTATAAGAGAACTGTGTATGATTAATGGAAATGATTTCTGGATCTTTATTTATTTATTTTTTATTTTTGCCGTAGCCAGCAGCGTGATTCAAACTGCATGTGCCACAGGGACATGTTACGATAATTTGTTTACCCTGCCCCCCCCTGTCTAGGCCGCCCTCCCAGCATGACCCCCTGAACGGTGCCCTTGTTAGCGTCACCTCACTTCCTGTCCCACGCTGACCTCTGCAGGCAACAGCAGCCCGCCTAGTTAACGGCCGCTCAGAGACAGCGGGTGGGGATTCTCAGAGACACCAGGCACCCGGACAAACGGCCGGAGCTGTTCCGGATGGGATCATTACGGGGGGAGACTTACTGCAAATACTGGGCGCACGCCGTATGATTCTGCAAAATTAGTCCGCTAGAGTCTTCTGCTGTAAATCTTAGACGCGGCCAGCAAACGCAGTTCGGGCTGAACTCCCTCATTACGCAGACACCTAAATTGCATTTACATTAGCATTTAGCTCTCCTCTCCACTCTGCGAAGTCAATTATGTGAGCGGAGCTTAATTTGGCAGCGAAGGCACCGCGCGCCAATTTATATACGGCGGGACTAAAACGACCCATTGAAGACTTTCACGACGACCTCACAATTATTTCCGAGCCTCATAATGCAGCACTTGTGCTGCCGGGCTCTCTCGCACGCTGCGGATACGGCCTGAATTTAAATCACCTCGGCAATGTGAGTCCTTTCAAGTAAGTGCACAACACGCTACTTATCAAGCAATTTTACAATTAGAGACTCATTTGAATAGTGGCTGGAAGAAGTTGTCTGAAATCTCAGTTTAAAATAATGATATGTATACGTAAAATTATAAATATTTATAGATGGGTAATAATACAATCAGTATCATTTTTAGCATTCCAGTGTACGCTACCTGTACAATGGGCGAATAAAGAGCCATTTCATTTCGTCATTTCATTTCAATTCACTCATTTCATTATATATTAAGAAACAGAAATGGCAATATGCAACACTAAATAAAGTATTGTTAAACTCTGCTTAACATCCAACCACAAGCAACACAGTTTTGGTTTTGAACAAACAAGCTTAAACACATATTAATAACTACTATACACTTGATCCTACTGACCTGCTGTCACTGTGGGCTTGTTGGTGTAATTATCGAACATGTTCCTGCCCATTTTATTGTGTGCTCTCGCCACAGTTTTTCATAAACATGCAAAGCCAAATGAAAGGTCTTTCATCGGAAATTATCCGAAAGCGGACGAGATTGGCCGACGGGACGTCCGTAGATAAAGGCGCTCACAGAGCACATAAGTCTGCCGCCATTCAACCCGTGCAGCCTGTCGCTTAAGGGAGATTTTAGATAAATCAGCCAGACGGGGGTAAATAACGCTAACGTCATGTTATTTTGCAGATGAAGGACACCCTACATCTTCAGCTCTGACACCACACGTTTATGGATTGTAGCCTGGGATGTCAGTGCTGGTTTTGATCAATAACTCGCCCGACCCCCTGAATGTAATCACAGGGCTTGCAGTCACATAAGATATGATTTACAAACGCTCTATTTCATGATGCACCTATATATACACAGATGTGTGTGTGTGTGGGTCAGATACACGTTATATAATGGGGACCAAATGTCCCCACAATATGATGATAACGTGTTATCTTGATGTTGTGGGGACCGTTTTTTTGTTTTTTTTATAAAAATCTGTGACTGCAAACAAAAAAACTAAAAATGCTAAAAGTCTCAAATTCTGTTTGGTTACTTATGATTACGGTTAGAGCTTGCTCAGCTCTTCTTGTGTCAAGCTATGAAATACGAAGTTCTGAAATGCCAGACAAGTACCAAGTAACATATAGGACTGAAATAACCTTAAACTTTGGGTAACCCGATAAGTCCCGGATAGAGGGTATATACTTAACAGTATCGACCCTATGCTCCGTCGAGAGTCAAGCTATTGGGTCATCTGGCATCCCAATTACAGTGGACCCCGCTCCTATCTCAAGAGGCTTTCCATCCTGATATTGATCTCTGAAGTCACCCCCCCCCCCAATACAGCTACCAGGGTGTCGGGTTCAAGAGCCAAAGAAAAGTGCTGATTGGACAGTTTACTGTAGATAGAATTTAGTGCACAGATTTTGCTAAAAAGAAATGTGATTTTACTTTAAATAAACTAAAAGTCATATGAAATGCTCTCAGAGATACTAACAGAGAAGTATGAGTTATGAATGACTGTTGTTTAGGCTGATTAAAAAATTAAGTATAATTACAGACTATTCCCGATGTACGACTTGGGTCCGTTCCGGCAGAGGGGTCGCAGGTCAAAATGGTCGCATGTGGATAATGACTTTTTACATATGTTTACTTTTTTTTTTTTTTTTAAATCTTGGTCCTATGTGGGAATCGTTACGTCGCATAGGTTGTATGTCTGGGAAAATCTGTATTATAGGATATTGAAGTCACCATTCATGAAATCCCCATTCAATTGCCATACGCCTTGTCTCAATTAAGTACATCATGTTCACATCTTAATATAATTTCTGTATCCCGCACAAAAACATAAAGTGTAACAAAGTCAGGGGTACAGTCACGACCGTCATCTTACCAGTGACGGGGGAATGGTCTAAGTGGCTCGTTCAGACTGGAAGAAGGAAAGCGTAAGACTCCTCCGGACTCCCTGGATCAGACGAGAAAAGACAAGAAAAGAAAGCAGAAGAAGAAGATGAAGAAGAAAGAAAAGGAGAAGAAGAGGAAGAGAAGGAGAAAGAGAAAATTACACATTGCTCTTTGACAAAAAAGCTGCAATTTTACTCCAGGAGCTCATGAAATGTTCTCTGGCCTCGTGTACAGGAGAGATTAATGAACACATCAGATGTCAGCACACTTCACATACGCATTTAAGCGCGATGCAGAAATATTTACTGCGTGTTAACCGCTAGACTGATGGGTGATTTCAAAGAAAGAAACTATGCCGGATGTTTCTTGGAAGCACTAACTGTACTCACATCGACGCGCAACATGTTGGGGGGGCGTGACGGCGCCGAGCCCGTAAACGCAGCCACCTTATTAGAGCCTGCGTCAGCCCGGTTAATCACTGGGGCTTTTGCACCATCGTGCAGAGGCACTGTTTATTTTTTCCCTGGCACCCCCTTTAATTGAATGCCTTTAATTGATTGGGTGTCTGCAAGATTTAATGGACTGTCGCAAGCAAATCGGAGACGGGAAGAGCTGAGCTTCACGCGTCGAGGGCAAATGCAATCAGCGGGGCGCGTTTCCCTCGCAGTCCGCGGCATTATTGACACCGGGAAGAAGCACGACCTCCGGAGGAGCGGACCCGCTTGATACACTTTCTCCTAATGACAGCCATTTACACATGATTTCATTTCCATCCAGTCAGGTCACACGTTATCTTCCATAAGCACTCGTCACCGCAGGGTCACGGTCAGGCTTGGGGGGGGGGGGTTGTCGCCCAGTGAGCCCAGGGCGCCGACAGATAGATAGCCAGGCCAGCGCGAGATCACCCACACAGTCATACACAACGATACAGAGCGATTCACACGTCAATTCGGCTGATCGGCACCTTTGGGCTGCTGCAGGAAACCTTTACGTCAAAGGAAAAAGATCTGAGCCACACACACACACACACACACACACACACAGTTTACAAGAAACATCCATGTGACTTCTAATTTAACGTAGTTTATTATTCTGCATAACATTGTATCAAAATGGTGTATATCATGTGAGTTTATAAGATGAATAAAGTTCACTCTTGTCTGGTTTCTCTGCTTCATATCACCACTAGGCTACACTTCGTTAAAGCATCAGACTTTATATTCTGCAACAACACGTCCATTTCTTTAAGAAAAAAAAAATTACTGGGCAGATTGCCACCTTATGAAGGGCTGGAAATTACGTGTCTAATCTGGCAACAGCAGATAATGCACGCTCGCCGTACACTCAAGCAACACCAGCTAATTAGCTTGTTTAGCAGTTTAACGACTTTGAAAATGCCAGCCACTTGAGCCGTGCTGGAAGGCGAAGTACCGGCCCCTGACCAAGGCAATTACAGCTAGTAAAAATCGGTCCTACAGCGTCTGCAGTGCCTGCTGCAGAATTACTGTGCGGAAAACAGATAAATAAATAGTCCTTTCTGGAAAATATGGATGATAAACAGATTTTCTTCCATGCCTGAGGTATTGAGCGTCAGACCACTGAGAGCTTCTCTGTTAAACTGAATGGAGATTAAGCATGACTCAGGGAGTCCAAACCGAGAACCATAGCCAGAAAAACCTCACAGGTTACATTATGTAGCAAACAAGCAAAGCCACAATTTTCAAGGCTTCACGCACTGTTTATTATGATTTAAATATTATAATTTTTACTAGACCCGCATTTCCCTTTTCCCAGTGGATTAAGTTTGCATCCTGTATAGGGAAAAAATGCACATAAGCATAATATTGAGCGTGAAAGAGTGAGCTGCGCAGCTTAACGTGAGTCTCGGGTGATTAGATCAGATCCCTGTGCTGAGGGCGGGGTGTCACTCTGCAGAGAAAGAGCCACCAGGCAGGTTTGTAATCAGAGCGGATTTGACCCTGGCCTGAGAGCTGCACCGTGTACCACGTCTGCCTGAGAGCTGCACCGTGTACCACGTCTGCCTGAGAGCTGCACCGTGTACCACGTCTGCCTGAGAGCTGCCCCGTGTACCACG